GGGTTTTTTTTTTTTGGTTTTTTTTTTGTTTGTTTTTTGTTTTTTACAGAAACTACATCATCAGTCCAGATACAGAAATACAGAATGGTAGAAACAAGCTGATCCTGCCTCCTGGGAATGCAAGCATCTCTAGAACAAAATTACAATGAAAGGTTAATTAAAGAGCGCATTCAAAATAAGAATATAATCTGGGTAGCATGTAACTACAGAATAATGATATTGAGAATGTAGTTATTAAACAGTTCTGTCAAAAACACCTATTAACCATCTACAGACGATGAGAGCCTGATCTTTCAGAGTAGTACAACATTTTAATTCCTGACAAAGTGACTGAAATAGTACTAAGAAATAATTAACATGGGCAGATGCTGATTTAGAACAGGAATAGAACACTGTGCTTAAATCAGAAGTGGCTGTCATTAAGACATTTAGTAAGAAATTACTTCCTAGTTTTCTACTCAGTCTCTACATATGACTGATGTAATAGAAGTTTGTGCACAGTCTAGTGTTTGGTGGAAGTTCTACACAGAAATAAGGGATCTAGAGAGCTTGTGAAGTCTCCACACTTAAAAGCTATTAAAAATTCATCTGGACATCATCTAGTAACAGGCAGAGGTGTCCTTTTATAATACATATTGTATTATTTTGAGAAATCTTTTTTTTTTCCAGTTAGGTGAAGACAAATTTCTCAAGACAAAAAAGGTAGCAATAAAGGGTTAAGGGCTCTTGACATCTTTGGGTACTGCCCAAGTACTGTACAGATACTACACTTACCCGGTCCACAATGAGCTGAAGTTGTACAAGTGTACTAATATTGTTCCACAGTCAATAAGTTTCATCCTGGTTTAGATGGGGAGCAGCGCTGCACTCCTATAGTTAGTTACCATTTCACTTACTGAAATTCTTCAGAACTTTTTAGACAGTAATACACAACAAAGCCTGAGTGCTGAAAGGATTAAGTGCCACAAACAGAATGTCTTTCGGGGTAGCAGTCCTAAAAACTGTTCAATCAGCTGCTTAACTTCCCATCCCCACATGCAGTAGATTATTACAACAAGGAATTCAAGTTTTGATATCCTGTGGGCCATCTCCAAACACACATTATCTCTATGAACTAAAAAATCGTTATGCCTTAAGAGGCAAATTGTGTTTGCTTCCCTAACATATTAAAGATCTTAAAATAGCACAAAACTCAATAGGTATTGCATGTACATTACCACAGAAATATTTTAAAAGAAACTGATCAGAGGCACTTGAGACTACTCTGCAAACCTAGGCCTCCATCCTTGTGCTTGCTTTACAGACCACACACAAATGCAGCGGAAGAAACAACCTAAAATAATTTCTGTGAGTTGAACAGGAATGCTCACATAATCACTGGAAATGCTCTTAATTGGTGTGGCTCAGTGGTGCATTTCAGAGCTGTTAGATCCTCTGCCGCTCTGGAACTCTTTTCATGTCCTGGCAATCACAGTCCAGCCAGCAGTTTGTTTATCATATTCAGTATGATTTTCCGGATCTCCAACAAAGTGGTATTTACTCCGAGGCAGGGAAGACTGCAGTAATCCAATAAGTTCTCATTAGCCTAAAATGCAGAAACATCTGCTGGGGTCATGAGCTGCTTCCTTGCTGTTGATGAGCAAAGATTCATCTCCATTTGAAGCTAGTGTGAACAAAGAATTGTAGGGTTGGGGGGTGGCGGTGAAGAGACAAATGGGCCTCGATTATCTCCTGGGCTGCAGCTCCACTATGGTGCACCATACGCAAGAGGGATGCTCCCTTACTTTGACCCCTGGTGACCCTATCGCAGGGAGCACAGGAATTACAGCAAAAAATGCTTTGACTCAGCCCTCCTGAGCTGGTGGTCAAAACTGTCAGGCAATGCCAGCGCAACTGAAGAGAATGTGGTCGGAGCTCCTCAAGAAATACCAGGATCCAAGCAGGACAATCTGCAGCACAAAACTGGGTTAAAATGATCTTTCCCAATCGCTTTTTAGACAGCTAAGAGAATTTTGCAGAGGATGAATACTTACCAAAAAAAAAAAAAAAAAGGCACCTTAGGACACATGAATGTTAACAATTAGTCAAGACGAACTTGTGGCCTAAACAATTAATACATAGGTAATAAGTACTGCATAAGTTGAGACAGAACATAAATCTACATTGATACAAGTTACAGAAGGGGAACACTACTAATTCTAGGTGAAAAACAAAACAAAAACCAAGAAGAGACTGATAACCTGAATAAAGAGAGCCTTTAAGTCGCTTAGGTCTCCAACCAGATTCAGAGCATGTGACATTGTCAGAATTTACAAAATAAGCAGTGTCACATCTGCTTAGCTCCTGCTCCAGTGATTTTAGAGTTCTTTGTTGTTGTTTGTACATTGTTAAATATGACAGCATCTAATTCTGTGGCTATTTCAGGGTGCAGGAGCCTAAAACACTTCTGTGAAGAGCCGAACCAGAACCACTTAGGAAGAATACTCAGAAAATCAGGATGGAAAAGTGTAACTTCAAAATAGCTTAAAACCCCTTCCTGGAGAGGCCGAGCTGCTTTAGCTAACACTTGTTCTACAACTTGTACACACAATTACACAAATGCTCAACTTGAGGAGAAGACTGGCCAGAATGCTCAAATCAATGCCCATGACTCCTCCGAAACAATGAGTGCACATCCCCAAGCACTTGTTTTGTCCATGCAGTTGGCCCTTAGCTCCCAGACTCCCACTTTGCCTTAGGCTTGTTGTACAGATAATGGCTGCCACCTGCAGCAGCAAGGATGAACTGCTTCCCCAAAAAGATTTAGCCTGTAACTGTGCTCACAGCAAGCAGGACCTTTCTCCACCACCCTTCTTCAGGGAAGAGAACCCATAGCATTCCACTTCTCTTTATAACATCAGTGCAGATACATCGCACTCGATTAGTCTAGACACTGATCAATGAGAAAGTCCAGAAGGAAGCTGAAACTCCACTCAAGTCATTTCACCCTTCTCCAAATTACTGAATGAAACGATACATGGAATGTTAAAATCAGAGCATGCACATTTATGTTCTAAATGGAAAACATGTACCTGAAATCAAAGCACTTCTAAAAACACATTAAAATTATCCTAGGAAAGACATTCTGACTTGTGTCTGCGCAGAGACAGAATTATCAAGACACTATAAACTTGATTTTCATTTCATCCCTTCCCCCTCATATTTAAGAGGATCCTTCTTAACTTTCCGAGTTTCAGAATAACACACCTATGATAAGCAGGTTAAAGGTACAAGGACGCCCATCCTAGGAACTACTTAATCCTAGGAAAAACAGTTGTTTGACCAGTTCACCACACAAGAGCCTTTCTACGGAGATCTCCATCCACCAGAAATAAACAGACTATCATTTGCAGGTAACCTATGGCTTGAGTGCTTAGCAAACTTCCCCATCCAGTGGCCAACTTCGTAGGTGCAGCTCACGGTCCTGACTCGGAGCATGACCCCGCTGTGTGCGGCACCTACGCTCACTGACAGAATGGCAGCACACGGAGGTGAACTATTAGGTGCAGTTCATCGAACATGTTTGAGAAAGAAGAAATAACAGATGAATGTTGTAAAACAACTCATTGCTCTCTTACTGGCTCATGGGTAAGTTGCTGCCAAAAAAATGACACTGATTATATACAAGGACGGTCTTAACAGTTTGTTATATATCGACTTCTCATCCAGCACACTGGCCATCTTACTGATACAGCTACTATAGCTTAATTTACTCCTAATTTTTAATAAAAGAAGATACCGGTTAGATCCTTAGTAATACCAGGAAAAAAGCCTGAATAGCACTTTAAAGAGTGCAAGGAGAATGTTCCAAGTATTTTTTTGAGCAGGCTAAAAAGCTTCAGAGACACAACTTAAGCCAGAAACCACCATGCAGACAATACAAAGCAAAAATTTTGAAAAACCATCACAGAGATTCCACAGGTGATGAATACAGGATACAGCATGTCTGTCAGGCAAATGCATTCTGTGCATAATAATGGAAAGTACGCTGAAAAAGCCTGCCACATCTGGCATGTGCGTTCATCACAGAGCACGCTCTTTCTCAGACATTTACTCAGTAGTTGGGTTTGAGGTTTCTCTCCGCATTCACACTAATCTGGCCTCAGCACTTTGGGTGCCAGTAGGTCATGGCTTGCCACTGGGACTGGTTAGAGACTCTAAGTCCACCACAGCATGGATTGTGAAAGCCCAGATGGAAAGAAAACTTCTGTAGATGAGTGAAGATATTCAAGCATGTATGTGATTGATATGGCAGTGCAAAATTGTCTTTATTATTAAAAAAAAAAAGTCCTAGAAGAGAAGGTGTCAGTTTAATACAAAATTTGTTTCCAAGACAATTAGGCAACAAGTTACCAAAACTTTTCACTTGTTACAAGCGACCAGGCTCCTTCCAATCAGCCTCATTACTTGCTAGCCACATCACATTTCCTCTCAGCAAATTCTGAAATAAGGGACAATATGGAATTCCTCCAGAAGTTGTTCACTGAGTGACCAGTGATCATGCTGTACATTCCTACACATCTTGCTGGTCAGATCAGCAAACGCACAGTACCACATCCACATGCTGATATGTTGCCCTCTAAGGAACACTACTTTGGAAACAGAGGTAAATCAGTGCACTTGAAGCCAATTCCCAGAAAGTAAACCAAGAAGTTTAAGAATACATAGGTCATATTTGCTAAGAACAACATTTCTTATTTTTTACCTTTCAGTATCATCAAGACAGAAAGTGATGAGAAAGGTGTCACAGAAATTCATGTTAAAAAAAAAAAAAAGTCTCTTTATGGGACAACATGCAGAAGAAAACTCCATTTCTTGCATTAGTAAGCATACATGCTGCTGGTTTCATATTCTGATACAACCGAAAATTTGGACAAGTTATCTTTTACTTCTTGTATGAACATATAACAAGTCTGTGGCATTGATTTAGTACCCACCCGTTAGTAAAACAATACTCAAACTTAGTTGAAGTACCAGTGTTTCACAACATCTAGTCCATGATTCTCTTCACATATTTGTTGGTTATGCAGAGATACTTCTTTACTAACATCACACGACAGGTTCTGCGCTTGCATGAAGCTCCTGGAACAAAGGAGGCAAGCTAAATCAGTTACCCTGGAGGATACCAACTTCTGCTTAACCTCAAAGGCTATGGGCCTGGACATTCACATCATTCTCCTACCATGGAGCCACCAGAAGAAAAAAATAATATAAAATGTGAATTTTCTTCCCAAAGGCTAGAATTTGTTGGAGGAGAGGAGGGGCAGTTTGCAGGAGGGGGAAATGTGTGGCTTTATGGTCTCTCAATCTTGAAAGATTTTAGCTGTCAGCTCTTCCAGGAAAGTGAAGGAAGGAAAGGAAATTTATCATGCTTTCTCTCTTACTCATGCTCTCAGTGATACTTCAAATTTATTGACACAATCCCTGAGGAAAATGAAAAAAACAACCTTTTCTGTGCTCCTTGTACCTCCTAAAGGAGGATATATGATTATTATTTAAGACATAGTGCTTCCAGTTCACTTTTCCGTGTCCTGGAGTTCTCCATTCTCCTACATATTTGCACTTTACCAGGGCTATCCTTGCTAAAGTGGCAGAGAATGGCACATTAAAGTAGTTCACTTAGAATACACAAATAAAAAACCTCAAACATCTTTACTTTGACTGGAGGTAGCGTAGGGACAGAAATACAGATGTCTGCTAAGAACAGAGTTAAACTTAGTGCTACTATACCCTCAATTAATCCTCCTCCAGTATACATTCTGGATATATTCTGTCAAGATCTACAGATTTTCCTCTGAATATTTAGACCTGACTGTTGTAAATACCTTTGAAGCTCTTTATCCAGTTTCTGAGATGTTTCTTCAAGCTCTTTCAGTACACTAAGTGCTTTTGCACTTTCTTCCGAGTGGCTCGGCATAACTTCTGTCAGAAGGTCCTGTGTGATAGTTAACTGCTTTTGCAGTTCACCTGCAATACGAGATGTTGAAGATATTATTCCAAAATGCATGCAGTGCATCATGATTTTCATATTTAATAGCTGCAATAACTACAGAGACAGGTGAACGAGATGATGGAAGACTACTGTTTGTTGAGCCTTCACAAACACACCATAAGAAAACTGTGAAAGCCTAATTATTTTTAGCTATGAAGACTAACACCAGCAACAGGCTATTAAAGTTGCTAATCAAGCTCTCATTTAGAGTATGTCAAAGATTTTTACAAGACAAATGCAAGAGAAAAAACAAGTTTTATACATCCAAAATTCCCTGGCCAGTTATATATGTTGCTATTGGCATGTACTCCCAACACGAAATTTCTTGAGTCCTTTCCTTTAGCATTCACTGACCAAAAATATGTATTTATTTCATTTCAAGCCTTCTCACAAGAATTTTAATTCTCCAACAAACTTTTCCCATTTGTTTTAAAGTGTAAGCAGGATTACTATAAATGGTTTAAGAATCTCGTTTCTTGCAGACCACTGGTTTAAAAATGTAACTTTTTGTCCAGACTTCAATACAAAAATACAAGTACTAATTTATTAAACAAACATTCTCTGATTCAAGACAACACACAATATATTTAAGCTCTAGTCATACAGGAAACATGAGTAAGTCTACCCACATGACTTTATCCCTCAAACACAGAAATAAGATCACAGTATTTCTACAACTTTCTTTCCCATTAGGAACAAGAGAGGAGGAATGCCATCAACACAGTTAACAGATATAGAAACTTGCTAAAAAAAGCATATATGAAGACTGCCCTAGATTAGAGAGTTAATTTTTTTTTTGTGCTGCAAGATAAAAAACCTCGTTCAAGTGCAGTTTAATGGCTAAACAGAGGCCAGAATTATTCATAGCAAAACATGTGACTAACGTTGCAGCCCAGTGTCCGTACAAGCTCTAAAAGAACACAAATTTTTTCCAGTGGCCACAGATAGAGCCAGCAATAACAAAGTAAGAATTTTAGCATATCAAAAAACACTATTTCTGGGAGTAAATTTAATTAATCAAAATTCCATACCAAGGTATGCTAGCTTATCCCCTTTTATGTAAATATTCTTTATGGGTAATTCATGTCTAGTGGCATCCAGGGAAGCTGCAAAGCTTTTATATTGCTCTTTAAACTGCTCGCAAACAGGAACAAGGGCAGTAAGCACTTCCATCTGAAAAAGACACATGATGAACCAACACTTCTTTAAAAGCAGACATCTTGTTAGTACAAACCCGGCTCAATACAGAAAAATAACTTAGAAAAAACTCCCAGTATCACCCTGAAATGTTCATTGACAGAGGAATTCAAGAAGTTTGTGGTACGATACTCCTATCAAACTGTTTAATAGGTTTTCTTCTACCACCTCAAAATGCTTAGGTCGACACCAGTTTCCTTGTTAGTGTAGCTCAGAGATATTAGCAACATAGCAGGCAAAGTGGCTTACATTTGATACTGTGACTGTAGTTAACAGTGTATTCTCCAAAAGATAAGTCTAATTTATTTTTTGCAATGCATATTTGTTAAACACAGGCTCAGTTTTGAAAATTAGTTACTGAAAGAGTACTGCCTTTTCATTTGACACAACAAAACTAACAAAACACTGAAAAAAGAGGGGAAGCTTCAGCTTCTAAGATCATCTGTTATCAAGAACTTCATTAGAAACTTGCCTTTTTACGACCAGGCCACAACTATTGCTGTCTACCACACAAAAAGAAGACAAAGAACAGATGTTCGATTCTCATCTAAGGGTTAGCATCTCAGTTATGGCTAAAGCCACAACTGTAATTGCGTAACTGCAGGATGTTCAGGTGGTTTTAAGATACTTGCGTCTCCTGTGCATCAACTGTAAGCTGCTCTGCCAACCAGGGCGCGATTGCTCTCCCCTGCTCAAACTTCTCCTTCCGGCCTATCCACAAGGGACAACCAAAACAGTGACAAAGGCCTTTGCTTGGGTTATTAAAGAGCATTACATGCCACAACAGGAAGATGATATTTATTTTGCTTAAGATGCATAAAATTGCACCCCAGCAGGCCACAAAAGCAGAGAAATCTTCTCTGGATGAAGGACGACTTCAAAAGTGAGCTTGTTTAAATACAGGAGAAGCATAAGTTGTAATAAGGCCTACCTGTTTGTCTAATGCTTCATCAAGTTTCTGCTCTCTTTCTTTCAGTAGAATTTCACGCTTCAACTCACAGAGCTTCTCCTGCTGTCTCTCCTTTTCTTCATACAATGTTAACAAGTTTCTTTCTGCTTTTTTCTCCAGCTCAGCAAGATTTTTTTCTGCCTATTGCATCCAAAAAAATTCACAACTAAAATAATACTACATCTAAGTAATTAACACATTCCAAAGAAAAAAATGTAAGCCTCAGACCAGGTCAAAGAACATCAATTAATGAACTGGAGACCTCATGGAACAAGCACAATACATTATAACTACATCCCCTCTCCATCTTCTTCCCCCACCCCCTTTAATATTATTTGTAAAGGAAAGATATCATATATGTAGACACATATACAGCACTTATTGAACCAAAACCAAAGTCACTGCTACAATGTTGAAATCCAAAAGTTCTGCCTAGCCCTACTTCACAAGGAACCAGCACGAGGTTAACAACCTGGTGCTGAATTCACTCAAAGAGAGTTTTCAAAGCAAGCCATACAGTTTCACAACCATAAACACAGAAAGTCACAAAAATATAACTTTATGAATCAGAAAGCATGGGCAGGAAATTAAACAATTCCTCAATATCAAGTTCTTCTACGTGAAACATCAAATACTGACTGACACTCACCTTTAATCTTAGGTAAGTTAAAAGCAATGTCTGAGACTCCAGCTCCTCCATTAGAGCATCAGGATTGTTCCCCTTGTTTCCCTTCACAAAAGAAAATAATATACTAGATGAATTTTGGTATTAAAAAAAAATTTTCTCAATGTTCAAATAAATTACTAGAAGTCCAATTTGAGCTCAGAATCACCATCAACAACTGTCAGCTCAATGAAAAAAGTCTGGGTTTTTAAACAATGCATGTTAACTAAATATACCTCTTTCTTCCACCACTTTTTATAACATTTTCAGCACATTTCTGTGATACTGGTAGAGAACTTGAAGTTTCAGTGCCACGTGGAATGAGATTTCTACATAAGGCACTTCAAAATAGGTTGGATCAATGTTAGTTTTCAGAGAAAAATATGTCAGAAAATATTTAAAGGTAATGCGATATAGTTAAAAAGTATGGACAGGAATACAAAAAGAATAGAGATAGCAAACATCACCAGCAGAAGACCTATCCTCCGACTTCTGCCAGAAGGCTTTAGATCATCCCAGGACTTCTGAATTGTTATGAAGATTAAAGTTAAAGGTAATGCGATATAGTTAAAAAGTATGGACAGGAATACAAAAAGAATAGAGATAGCAAACATCGCCAGCAGACTTATCCTCCGACTTCTGCCAGAAGGCTTTAGATCATCCCAGGACTTCTGAATTGTTATGAAGATTAAAGACAAACAGAAAATCTTCATTTCACAATAAATATGCTTGACAAATAAAAGCAGTGAGACTCACCGCTTTTTTGGGTTTTTGCCGTGTCTCTGTATCTCCTTTGCAAGCAGATTTTGGAGCAGGAGTCTTTTTGCGGACACTTTTACCTGTATCACAACAGAAAAGTTATTGCTCTCTTCTACCAAAGTACATAGGATGGGTCAACGTACCATCAGGTTCTTCAAAGGCAAAGATAATTTCAAAGTTATTATGTATACTGGTAAAGACAACTTGTGCTCTATTTCTGTCTCTGATGATACTCATGAGAAGATGAGGATCACATGAGCATTTAGCTTTAAGCAACAGCTACACATAGATGTGATACAATTTTCACAAGAGGCGATCATCTAACATGTTAAAGGAACAAAGACTTGGGGGTATTTTGTTCTTTCATATTTGATCTTTAATAAAAAGAACAGAGCACCCCAAAGATAATAAAAATCAAGCGGTTAATTTAAACCCTGAATGTCTCAATACCTCTGCTTAAAGACACTTGAAATAACACCTCATTTAACAAAATCCTGTTGTGAATACAGTAGAATATTAGGGTTACTTATCATCAAGTTACAGCACATACATTAAAAATACTGAAACAAGAAAGTGAGTATGAGTGTAAGCTTACCATTAATAGCTGAAAGATCAAGGTCCGGTCGACTAGTTTTATCTCCATCTAATAAAGTGGACTGCAAGACACTTTTCTCAAAACTACTCTTATTTAATGAGTTAGAAGCAACACCTGTGGAAAGAAACTGTTATCAAACTAGAAGAATTAGAACAGATTCTGCACAAGTTCATAATTATATACGCTTACATACACCATGTTTATTTAAAATATTAAATAAAAAAGCAGTGCAATGATGCATAGTAAAAGAGTAGTTCAAAGCCTTGTGCAGAAGGCAAAAGATACGCTTATTTGAGACAATCCAATTACTCAATTCCACATTAGTTCTCTATCAGAATATCCAGACAAGAGTTTTATGCACTTCAGTTTATGCCTCTTAATCCCACATCGACTTTCTTAATTGCCTTTGCATACAGATAATAACCAGCAGTGATATAAGTAATACAAAACACCATCTCTTAATAAGATTTTAGAGCTATTCAGAGGTCTAGAGGTTGTAAACACAAATCCACAATAGAATAGCTTTTAAATTCTTCTGATAAAACCTACCAGCAGAAGTTTTAAATTTCTGAGGAGGAACTGATCTTGGCTTAGTTTCAGAAGGTGGTTTAGCAGTGGATGTTGAAAAGGAATTTGCAGAAGTACTCTGACAATCAAGAAACAGATAAGACTGAACATAAGCAGTAAAGGTGACCAGCAATATATCCTAGCTGCAACTTGAATGCTGACAATAAACAACCACAATGCCAGGGCACCTTGGTGCTTTGCAAGTCACCTGAGGACAGTCCCAAGTTCCCATCCCAGTCTGCACCTAGCAATACACCACAAGTCTCTAACCCCAGCAGAGTCATTTTTTGCTTGGGTCTCGCTGCCCCACATCCGAGCCACCCCTCAGCCCCCTTCTATCCTTTACTGAGACCCCCTGAGCCCGGCAGCGAGGCGTCCAAGTACCTTCTTGGGGTTGTTCTTATCATACTGCAGGTAGCGAGACTTGACGATTCTTCCACCTGAAGAAAGAGGAAAGAGAGCTCAGCCGGGCCCGCCGCCGCGCTTCCCGCCGGAGCGGGCTTCTCCTCACCCCGCAGGTACCTTTCCGCTTGTTCTTAGACTCTTCTCCGCCCACCGCTGTAGTACTGGAGTCACTCCCCAGAGAGGACATCCTGCAAACACAGAACGGGAGATGACAACACCAGCAAACACCGAGTGTG